TTTATATTAGGGGTGTTATATATTTATCTGATGGTGTTGTAACAAAGATGCAGTGACTTTTTTGCACTGTTGATCTTGGGGTGCATGTCAGAGGTTATCCTCCAAACTACAAGTGGAAGCCAAATATTTAATTTAAATCCAAATGTAATTAAAGTTAATTTAATTAAGTATGAATATTCCCATATACTGTATATAACAAGGTTCCCTTGTTGTTACAATAAAAATATATAGTTTCGTGGGCCTCTGAAAATGCATCCAAGGCTTGGTGTGGGCATACATGGGTTGATATGGCCCCAGATTATATTCTCCACATTATAATCTAAGTGTTCTCTCTTTTCTCTCTAATTTTTGATATATACAATGGCAGTATTCTAGAGGTAATGAACCATATACCCAGCTTCTCATTCCTGTGCTTTTTCTGTAGTATAATTTGACCTTCTGCTCTATGCTCTTAGTGCACACAGTTTCCTTATACCCTCAGGGAAAAAATGTCAAGCATAAACCCTTCCTCTTGGCATCCCCATTTCTTTCAAAGCCTGTCGACTGTGAGCCTCTTAGTCAGCTTATTTGCTTCACTAGAGCTTGTTCCAAAACTGTGCGGGGAAGACCAAGCCATTTGTGGCCTTTGTTGCACAAAATAAGTTGTTCGTGTTCCTTTTCATAGTAGCTTAGTCTATGACAACTGCAGATTACATGTTCATTGTCCCACTTTGGATAGTACTATGAATGAATTTAATACTCTTTCCATGAAAATGGTCTAATGCTAAAATAAATTAGCACTTTGGAATGGCTTCCAGACAGCTGCCAAAGGTTTTGTAGAAATAAAATGCTATAAAACTTTGAAAATAAGTGTCAGCATTCTGGTAGAGATGCAATAATATAAATCTTTATCTACCTATTTTCCCATCAAAATGAACCATGAGATCAGTCATATCAGACAAAAACCGAAAAGAAACGTTGGTAGAAATATATTAAAACTCCTGATCAGCACTTAAAACAGTAGAAAATAATGCCATGGTGCTTGTTAAGACACATATGCCTGAAATCTTTATGAAATTCATCTTGGAAGCAATCAAAGAGGGTTCCTTGGAAATGGTTTAAACAAAAGATGGTCAGGGATTTGCTGCTATCTGAACTTAAAATAATTTTGCCCATACACAAAATCAAGGTCCTCTTTATAAGGTTGATTAAGAAATAGATGATTAATGAAAGAATAGTGATACAATTGTAGCACATGAACTAATATTTGATATAGAATCAAAATATCTAATGTATATTAGGATGGAGATATTTTGAATCTTTTCCCACAGTTTTATGGTACTGGTTGTTTAAGTGACAGTCACCTGAGTCTTTATCAGGATGAGAAACAACTCTTAAAAATATTATGTCTTTAGTAACAGATATATCTCAGAAAATTAAGAGCAGGGCCTTTACATTTGGCAGTCATAAAAATAAACATATTCCAGACCATTTTCAGCATGAATGGGTAACTTATGGTCCATAGTATATTTCTACTTTTGAATCGCTGCTTTAGAACCCAGTGAATTCCTTTACTTGCGCTACCAACATGTGATGATATTATTTCCTATAGTGAATCTTCAGCAAATAACCAAAAGAAACTATTTTTAATTTTTAATTATGCACTATATTTATTTGCAGACTGGGACTTTTAAAGATGCTTCACCCTTTTTGCATCATGGCCTTTCCCATTGTTTCCTTGGCCAGTGAAAATATGCTGTAGCTCTGATTACAGTTTTACAGGGAAATACACATTCTTTGAATTGGGCACAGAAAGGAAATGAAATCTATTGAATATAATAATGTATCAAGACAATATACTTCATCAGTACCTTTTTTGGCCACATATTGAATTTTAAAGATAATTCTATAAAGCGGAAATATGAACAGTTTTTAATTGATAAAATAACTATAGCCAGATTCTAGTTACTCAAGTAAATATAAAAGTTTGTTGCAAGACTTACAAATTGTGGCTTATGTCCCTAAACTTAATTGCAAATTTCTTCTTATTGAGGAATAAACTTTTCTGGAAGTTTAATTAAAGTATGTGTTTTAACTAAAAAGTATGTGTTTTAGATCTGCTTTCTTCTGGATGAGAAAAGACTTTCAAAGCAAAATATCATTATAAGGCATTCAAAGGAAACATTGACAGCAAGGTGACTGAAGTCTTAATGAGAAAAATTATAACAAATAGCAATAAAAAATGGATCCTATGAAGTTCTACAATACAGAAGTGATGCTTATGAAGATAGCAATCATAGTGATAATAATATGCTTTAAAAGTTAGCATATGAACAGAAATAATGTTAGAAATAAATAATACTTAAATTAAACAAAAATTAAAGTTATAAATAGAAACTAAATTAGAATATACAAAAATACAAATAAGACATATCAAAATCTATACAGTTCTAATTGTAAGGAAATGGTGGAATATGAAATGGATAATCACTTTCAATGAAAGTAATAGATAACTGAACCATATAAAACATATAGAGAGTAAGGAAGAAAGCCTTGATAAACAGAGGAAAGATCCATTCCCAACAGATGATATGGGGATATATACCAGTCTATACAAAGAAAGAGGTTTACAAAAATGCCTCATACAACTATAACCCTGTCTCCAATTCTTGTGAAGATAAACATGGAAGAAAAGCACATTTAAATTTCCAAAATTCTACTACTAGTACTATACACACACGCACACACACACACACACACACACACCATAAATAAGTTAATACCAACAAACAGTATGAACCAATTACAGATGGGGAGGGGGGCAGAATGTTGTTAATTGATCAATTGCCTCCACTGTGATGCTCCCTGTCGCCCCAGGTCAGGAGGGTTGGGGCCGACCTCACATTGGGGAGCAAGATGTTCCAGAAGGCAGTGCAATGGCAGAAAAAATCTTTCTCCTAGCCAGAATAATTGGGCCAACGGGACACAGGTAGGATGGGCCTATCCGAATGGGATGCTATGGTCCCTCAAGTATCCTAGATCCATACCATGAAGAGCTTTAAAAGTAGTTACCAACACTTTGAATTGGACATGGAAGCAGACTGGCAGACAATGCAGCTCACAGAGCAGTGCTGTACAGGGGCCATTCTTGAGGCCCCAAGAACTACCTGCGCTACTGCAGTACACACCAGCTGTAGCCTCCGAGTGCTCTTCAATGGTGGCCCCATGTAGAGCACATTACAGTAGTCCAACCATGAGATGATAAGGGTCTGAATGACTGAGTGCAGGGACTCCTGATCCACAGGAAATGAATCATCTAAATATAAATAGAGACATATAGTACACTTGTAGAAAAGAATTATACAGAAGATATAATAGTTTAGCCTTTTTACTTGTTTCTATTGAAAATACTCAAGTTTTGCAGACATAATCAAAAAGTGTTGTAAATGTAATGCACAAGTGCAAACAAAATACATGCATACACCCAGTTAGAAATTATATGAATTGTACATTAAATTAATCAGATCATATTACTGTAAAACTTAAGATTAACGTTGATCTTATAAAATGAGATTTTTAAAAATGATTGCTCTCTTATTGGAATCGTCCAGTGATTGGAAAATTCACTTTTAAAAAGGAATGCATTGCTGCATTGTAAAACTTGTATTGATTTTACTAAGTATACAGATCTTGCCATCCCAGGAGATCAAGCCTAAATGTAGTCTGCATCAGCAGTTTCACTTATCAACATGACTGACAAGGGCAGTTTCTCTTGCAAAGTGAAGTGAAGTCCATGCATAGTTCGCATGAAGAGAATGGTTAGGATTTGAAATTACCTGCAGAAAACCTTGTGCCGACCTAAAACATGAATTCCTTCTTCATGATAACAAACTTTGAGTAACTCCTTAAATATACATTGGAGAATATTCTGTCGCAAGCCATATACTATAACTGCAGAACTGCAAGGACAAAAACCACAAATTTAAAACAAACAGTATAACTGTATAACCTGCATCAAAAAGGATTTTGGAATCTGTATGCAGAATAGCATCCATAATTGAAACAGCCACAAATTACCTTATGCTACAAAATAGTCTTGGAATTTAAAATTGGGGTAACATGAGTAGTTAGAAGCCTGAAGGAATAAAATCCAGTGGTTGAAAGAAATAGGTTCAATAATCTATTAAAAATCTTTTATCCTTCCACGTGCTCAGCAGAAAATAAATCATTTCTACAGATTACAGGTATATTCTGTTTTATTTGGGGCTTTTTTTCTCATAGAATGCCCAGAATAGAGTTCCGGCACCTTTTTTGGATGGAACCTTATAAGGTAGGCAAGGCGGGTTGTATGACATGTGAGTTCCGGCACCTTTTCTTTTTTTTTTTTTTTTTTTTAGAAAAAAAGCACTGGTTTTATTTATGCAGATGGTAGAATTGGATGTATTTTGGCAGACAATGTCATTTCTTTTCAAGATAGAATACAGAAATTAAGGATTTTGAAAGATCATAGGAGAATCAAAAGGTAAATAAGATAGAAGATTTTTCAGGACAAAGTGTATGCAAAGTTTATGCAGTTTATCCTTTTAATCTAAACAGATTTATTTATAAATCCTATTGTAATTAAAATGTATTGCTAGTGAACAGTGGAAACAAGATTTGTTTAAAATACTTCTCAATCCAGTAAAAGGCACTGCTTTTCTCTAGTACTTGTCTGTTTTTATGAAAAAAGTGCAGCTAATATACCTTAGTATAATAAAGACATCAGTATGAATTTAAATGTGTTTTGTATGGGGTTCAGAACATTCTTTTAATTAATAGGATATGAATTAAATAATGTATATAAAGACTAAGATATAATAGCAATATGAAATCACAAAACAGAAATAAAAATTATTTAAAATTTAGCTCAAACTTTAATCCCAGGATATAACTGGAAGCTAATTTTTTTTAAGTAAAATGAAGCTGGATCTGGTTAGTGTGCATGCACACTAGAGATCAGACCATGTTTTCTTGTGTTCCAGATGAGAAAGAAGATCAGGTAAAAGTATAGCAAATAATTTTTTTAATTATCATTTGTTTGAGACATAGCCCTTAGTAAACCCCACTTCTCTAAGGCTGCCAAATAAATTCTGGGTGCATTCACTCAGAGCTTTGCTCAACTGATATTTACCTTACAGATACTTTAGGATGAAGAAAATAAAATATATGTTTGCTTGTAATTGCTGTGTGCTTTCCCAAGGAATTTGGAAATATTTTACTTTGAGGTAGGTCTTTGCCACCCAGTTCTACTCTGCAGAGCTATATTTAAAATATAATATACAATGGCTATTTCATCCTATCCTCTTTATCATTAATCTAGCCCTGAGAGGAATCATACATTGGTCCAATGGAGTCATTTTTTTTTATCTTCTTTGGTTAAACCAAGAGTATTTCACTGGCTATGTCATGGAATTGTTTAAGACAGTGTGAAATCCAGAATCAACATGGGATCTACACTGTTATTTCGAATATTGCAACAATATAATATAGACAATGCCTTTTAATTGTCAGTTGCTGGGATAGGGATTAAGATTGAAGGTTCTCTGACTACATCTCAGTCTGCCTGTTATGTGATCCTAATTCTTAATTATTATTACAAGAATGTAAGTTCATTTGAGCACAAATGATTTAGCAGCTCTTTTGAAATGACATTGAAAATAAAAGCCACCCATGTTTCAACAGAGAATTAAATCATAGGATTTGTTCTTTTTTAAACCTTTGTCTTAACCAAAGCTCTTAGGAATATTTATTTTTTAAGATTGCTCATGAAAGAAAAATATAATAAAATTGCACTCCTTCCACTTTCATGCCAATCTCAAAATATTCAAAATATTTCTATTCTTGAATGGATTCCCAAGCCAAAAATTTCAAAAGAACAGGACACTCAGGATCTTAGGTTTAGCAGAATTCATTGACTCTTTGCCCCTCAAATTTCATGGAGACTCTTCTTTTATTACTGGCCTCTGGTCAGTCTTTGCTGAGCTATTTTCCTGCAAGAAATGGGTTTAGTTTAAGGACAGCAAAATCAGTGGAAGCAGCCTTGTCTACACAGGCAGATTGAAAGCTTTATATTAGCAGCTAGAGTTCCCCTGTCAGTGAGCAGTCCAACCAACAGGTTTGTGTTACAGCAAGATGGGCAGAGTAAAATGCTGAAGTCTATTTGAATTTTATGGTCAGATAAAACACTGAAAAAGGATTCAGTCTCTGAGCTTGTTTTGAAGAAGCAATAAAATCACTAAACAGCAGCCGCTGTGGTCACTCCCTATACATAATTGAAATAGCTGCCCACTAAAGTCAAATAGGAGGTGGGAGGGGTGGTGTAAGTAGCTCTGACTGTTGCTATAACAACAGGCATCTTGGTCTAATTTCTTCTGAAAAATGACTTGCTGCTAGTGGAATGAAATGCAGCAGCTTTTTTTCTAGCGGATGAAAATGTTATCGACAGGCGAATGTGGTCCCTCGTTTAGGTAGCAAATATTCTGTGATTTGCCCATTGCAGTCCTTTCAGGAATTTTAAGATGCATTATTCCTGGATATACTATATAGGCCTATGGGTGGGCACAAAATTGTCTGTTTGTGTTTGGGGGGGGGTGCGTGTATGAGGGAAAACGTTACAAATAACAACACAACAACAACAACAACAACAACAACAATAATAATAATAATAATAATAGAGTTGGAAGGGACCTTGGAGGTCTTCTAGTCCAACCCTCTCTTCAGGCAGGAAACCCTATACCACGGGTGTCAAACTCGCTGTGTTACGTGACGTGTCACAACGTATCGTGACTTTTTTTGTATTGCCAGAGCTGGGGTGGGCACACCCCTGCCCTATACCATTTCAGACAAATGGTTGTCCAGTCTCTTCTTAAAAACTTCCAGTGTTGGAGCATTCACAACTTTTGGAGGCAGGTTGTTCCACTGATTAATTGTTCTAACTGTCAGGAAATTTCTCCTTAGTTCTAAGTTGCTTCTCTCCTTAATCAGTTTTCATCCATTGCTTCTTGTCCTGCCTTCAGGTGCTTTGGAGAATAGCTTGAATCCCTCTTCCTTACGGCAGTCCCTGAGATACTGGAACACCTCTATCATATCACCTCTAGTCCTTCTTTTCATTAAACTAGCCAGCATGGCTGGCTCAGGAATTCTTGGAGTTGAAGTCCACGAGTCATAAAAGAGCCAAGGTTGCCTACCCCTGAACTAGACATACCCAATTCCAGCAGCTTTCTTTATATGTTTTAGCCTCCAGTCTCCTAATCATCTTTGTTGCTCTTCTCTGTACTCTTTTTAGAGTCTCAACCTCTTTAGAAAGTAGTAGATTATTTAAACTCTTAAAAATATTCCCATACATTTTACCTTTTATATATTCCACAACAGACTTTAACAATTTGATGTAGTAAATATTATAATACTCGCGTCATCACAAGCCAGTATAACCAAAATGCTGGGCACTGATAATAGGAGTTGGAGTTATAATCCAGAGGCAGGAGGGCTGCACGCAGACAAAAAAAAAAAAAATCCTTGGGGACTTCCAAAAATTATAAATCAATTATAATGATGGAAGGGACAAAGATTTAAATGCCTAACTCAGAAATCTGTACAGGTAGTCCTTGACTTACAGCCATTCATTTAGCAACTATTTGAGGTTACAACGGCATTGAAAAAAGTGACTTACGATCATTACGGCATCCCCATGGTCATCTGATCAAAATTCAGGCACTTGGCAACTGGCATATATTTACAATGGTTGCAGCATTCCAGGGTCATGTGATTGCCATTTGCAACCTTTCCAGACAGCTTAGGACAAGCAAAGTCAATGGGGGAAGCTGGATTAACTTAACAACCACAAGATTTATTTAACAACTGCAGGGATTTGTTTAACAACTATGGCAAGAAATGTCATAAAATGTTGACTTACTTAGCAACCATTTTGCTTAGTATTGGAAATCCTCAATACAAGAAGAATTTTTAAAAGCTTGAACTTTTTTCCATTCTCTGAAATAGCATTACCAGATGTCCAGGAAATGGAGGACATATCCATCTTTTTGTCTTCCATCCAGCAGGCATAGCCTTAAAATCAAATATTGTGCAGATTTTTGAGTATCTTAACAAGTTATCGCTTCTTGAGCAGCTTTCTCCAGGGCCCATCACTTCCCTATTAAGTGCTAACCGCAAATTAACAAGCTCAGCTCTGTGACCTTAATTAGTTGATTAGTACCCTGGGCAGCTTACCTGTTGCATGAAATTGGCAAGACCTTAATCAGTTACATGCTGAATGCCTCCTAACAGCTCTAGTGCATTCCTGTGGTGGAAAAACAGTCTTCCTAAATGCTGAAAAAGTAAATTTGTATAGATGTAGACTTAAAGACTTTTTGTTTGTTTATTTGCAGTTTTTCACTATAATTTTTGTTGTGGATGCCAAGAAAGTTAAATAGGGTATTTCCCCCTCCCCCCTCCATGTATCCTCCTTTCTTGTTGTCTGTATCCTTCTTTGCTTGTTCATCTATCTGATAACTCTACCCTGAAAAGGAGACAGGTATGTGTAAGAAATGTAGATCAGCCAGGGTGTTTTTCTCCCAGAATGTGATGAGAGTGTAAACTGCTTGCCCACATATGAGCAAAGAAATTTCTTACCATTCACACTGTGGAATAATGAAAACATTCATATGCGAAAGACTTTCTTATCAAACTATATCTTAAGAAATGGAATATTTGTATTTTTTGCTTATTAAGAGCTTCTATAAAGTTCTTAAAGTTTTCTATGACTACTGAAGTTTATTTCTTATAATGTGTCTTTTTACCTACATTAACAAAAAGTGCATTAATCTAGGTGTATGGTCTGTCACATTTCTTATAACAGTTTTTTTTTTTCATTTTTGTGGATTCATTTCAGACATTATAAAGTATACAACAGACACATTGATTTTACCTGGTGTTATATAATATAAAATAGGTTTTGTAGTTTATAAAAGGACCTGGTGTCATCCAATATATTTTCTGCTGTGTCATGTTAGATGAGGATTATCAAAGTTGGTAATTTACTAATTAACTTGAAGAATCCAGATTAAAGAAAATTGAAGAAAAAATAAGATGTAGGTAATCTAAAATTAAGAATTCTAGGAATGTTTGAAATTTACTGGTGCAGTTTTTTTGTCTTGTTTTCTTTTTATAAAGCAATTGTAGTCATTCACAGACCCTATGCTTCCTGCAGCTCCCAGCAATCTAGGAGCCCTCCACTGAAATTAGCAGCAAAATACCAATTTTTTAGCTGCTCAATCACTCATACCTTGGTCATCTCTTCTTTGGATTTTTGTAATGCACTATTCAACGTATTCAGAAGCTACAATTGGTCCAGAGTGCAACAGTGCAAATAATTCTGGAAATACCTAGGGTGGCACATGTAGCACCACTGTTATGCAAACCATATTGGCTGCTGATCTGCTTCCAGGTCCAATTCAAGATGTTAGCTATCACCTTTAAAGCCCTTTATGACATGGATCCAGGATAGCTGAGGAACTGTCTTTCCCCAGTGGGATTTGCCCACTCCACCCGTTCTGACAGAAAGGGCCGGCAGTCCCCATCAACCAAAGAGTTCGGCTGGCAGGGTCTAGGAAAAAAGACATGGCCCCCTGCCCTTAAAACATTTGCCACCAGAGGTGAGATCTGTCCCCATCCTGTTGGTCTTTAGGAAGAGGTTTAAAACCTGGCTCTGCTGATTGGCATGAGGCCCTGATGGAGAAGCTGTGTGCCGGAGGGGGTTGGTGCAGTGGCAGAGAAAGCACCATTGCCACTCTGTTCTGGACATGTCTTTTAGTTTGTATTTAATCTTGTGTAATTTTAATCTGTTTTTATATTTATAATGGTGGTTGTATTTCTATTTTTTATTATATTGTAAACCGCCCAGAATTGCCCCAAACAGCCAGAAGGGCAGTATGTAAATTCAATGTAATAATAAATAATAATAACATTGTCATCAAGACTGTAGCAGTAACATCTTGTTAAAGTATGCCATCCAAGTATTAATGAGGCCCCACTTCAAATGGGAACAAAAATTTGTTACTGTTATTCAATTATATATTATATATTTTTAAATAAAAATTTAATTGTGTGGTCTCTTGGGCATTAACTGGGGGAATCATATTTACCAGCTTGCTTAGAGGCACTATAGTAATGATTGCTAATTTTCTGAATGTTCAGATGATAGTATGGTGAACTACATAAAATAAAGGTATGGGAACTGCATGTTTCACTGAACTTGTTATATAAAACCTGAACTCTTGAAGTACTTTTCTGTCTATCATTCATTGGAAAGGGAAGAAACAATATAAATCCTATCTGAAGGACAGGTTGCATTGGGGAGATATGGCAATATCTACTTCATCCTAGCTGTTTTTTCTCATCCAAATTATTTTTTTACAAATAAAAGATCGACTGTGCAGTTGATTCAAGGTAATAAGTACTTACCTTGATTATTTAATGCATTATTTTGGGAAATGTTCCATTATGGTGTATATATTGTAACTGATATGAAGTACATATATAATGAAAAGGAAAATCTGTTGGCAGAAATCACTAGATTTCCTTGCAAGCTGAAGTAGGAAAAGTGTTTTTCAAATAACAACTGTTGTACTGAGGACTACAGTATTTGTTTAATTTTGTTTATTGGTTTTGCCTAGCAACATGTGGCAAAAGAGATAATTGTGATATTATAGTATTTTTAAAAGCTTTGGTACAAAAACTCCTGAAATTAAAGTGCAATGGGAAATTTTCAATAGTGCCTCTTTACATAGCATGTGGGGGAGTTACGTAAGGCTGCTTTCTGGAAATTTCCTACTTACATTGTAAATGGATATATTATGGAGATGGCTAGGAAAACATCTCGGACATGTATGCTGCTATTAGATATGGTAATTTTTAGTGTTTGAAATATGAGCACTCGTTGAACTAGTAGTTCCAGTCCAGTCTACCACTTCATTCTGCTTACTATATTAGAATAACTTATAACTAATTATAATAATGTAATAACTCTCATTGCCAATGATACACCTCCATTTGTGAGAAGAAATTGTTTCTCTAAAATTTTGTATTATTCCAATAAGTTTAAATAAAGTTCAGAAATCCAACTCAAAATGTTTTGAAACAACATCATCTTTATGAATCATAATAAATTAGTAAAACTTCCTGTATATAGTTATGATGATTTATAAAAGGTAGAAATGGACAAATCTTGAATCAATTACTTTTTCTTTTCTATTCAAGCTTCAAGAGACAGTGAAGAGAAAATTAGAAGGAGCACGCTCACCCCTCAACGGAGAACAGCAGAATGGTGTCTGTGAGAGAAGCTTCTCTCCAACTAATAAGCGGATACGGAAAGATGTACCTGGGATTGAGAGAGTCAACAGTTTGCCAAACAGTTTGCCTTTATCTTCTATTTCTCCTCTTCACCAGCTTGACCTAAAGCCATCTTTGCCCCTGCAAAACAGTGGAGCCCATGAGGGTACGCTGGAAGACCTAGGTAAAAATGGTGGACTTTCTGACCTAAAACTCCCAGTCAATGGATGTACTGAGCTTGAAGATAGTTTTAACATTCTGCACAACAACAGTAGTAGCAACAAAGAACTGAAACAAGAGCCTTTGGATGATCCTAACTGCACTGACAATTCTGACACATCCCTTTCTAATCAGAATAAACTCTTTTCAGACATTAACCTGAATGATCAGGAGTGGCAGGAATTAATAGATGAGCTAGCTAACACTGTTCCAGAAGATGATATACAAGATTTGTTCAATGAAGATTTTGAAGAGAAAAAGGAACCTGAATTTCCGAGACCAGCCACTGAGATTCAGGAAACTGCCAGTGTTAAAAGTGATCCATGTCACTCTCCATTTGCTCACTTACCAACAGGCTCTCCCCAGGTAAGACCTTCATCATCAGGGCCTCCTTTTTCAAATATCCCTACGGGTTCCAGCCTGCCTTCAGCCTCTAATGGTCCTCCTGCTCCAAGCCTGGACAGTTCACTAGCAAACTGTATGGTTCAGTCCCCTCAGACTCCCAACCAAGCACATCCCTCAAACCAAACTCAGTCACGACCAGGCAATAGTTTCCACATGAATCCAACAACAGTGACAACAGCAGGCCCAGGGCCTAGCCAAGTGACTGTGACTAGCACTGACTTGTCTCCAGCTGAGCAGTTGAAACAGATGGCAGCCCAGCAGCAGCAGCGGGCTAAGCTCATGCAGCAGAAACAGCAGCAGCAGCAGTCACAGCATCCAAACCAAGTATCTAGCTGGTCTCCAGTGGGACCTCCATCTAGTCCGTATGGAGGACCTTTCAGTACAGATAAACCAAATAGCCCGATGATGTACCCCCAAGCCTTTAACAACCAAAATCCTGCAGTGCCTCCCACGGCAAACAACTCACAAAAGAATACAATGAATAACTACCTCCCTCAAAACCATATCAATATGATTAGTCAGCAGCCAAATAATCTGGGTACAAACTCTTTGAACAAACAAAGCAATATGCTTTCTTACGGCAACACTAAACCTCTGTCTCATTTCAATGCTGACCTTAGTCAAAGGATCACTCCACCAATGTCCAATTCCAACAAGAGTCCCATGATGCCATATATGCAGCAACAACAGCAACAGCTTCCCCAACAGCCACCAGTTCAATCCCAAATGACATCTTTGAGTGAGGAGCAGAAGCGCATGCTTATTTTGAAGCAGAAAGGAATGATGAACCAGCCAGTAGCTTATGGAACTCTTCCATCTCTAGGTCAGGTAAGTGTGCACAGAGAATGTTCTCTGTGAATGGCTCATGTGAATTAACATAATAATTCAATAGAAACTTGTGTACTGTTCTCTAAAACTTTCTCTTTATATTTGCCTTCTTTAAAAAAAAGCATTTGTTTTTTGTGCATATAACTTTCTAGTAGCTTCAAACTCAACTTTCTCCTAAATTAGTGTTATTTCTGTCAGTACATAACTATGACAGATGAATGCTCATCTCCAGATAAAGTATAATCTATTTTGATAATGTGTTTTTGATTGATATTTGCTGTATTTAGATGGGTGTTATAGTTTGGGAAAGCCGTATTTTCCCAGTGCCATATTGAATGTGAAATCAGTGGGCTTGAACAGACTTATACCAGCCAACTCCAGATCAGCCAGAAGGTTTAATTTAAAAAGAGTAAAAAAGGATTTGATATGTACCTCAATGGAGGAAGACAAGGCATGAATTTGATTGATTACAAGTTAGAGCTGCTATTAAGAATTACCCCATAGCATTAAGAGTGAAGAATTGTCAGTTTTGCATCTGCAAAGTGCTATCCAGCGGCCCTGTTCGGGGTCGCCTATTGCCTTTTGGGTAAAGAGGATTCTGAGGTTCATCTTAAGGGTTGAGCTGAATAATTTTCAATGCACCTAGTGGATAAAATCACTCAAAACCAAGCATGGAGCAAGTCTGTTGGAGATACCTTGGGAATGTCTTATTCAGTTACCTGGGAAAAGTTTGATTTGTTGGACCTGGGAAAGTGGATTATAAATGGGATTATAAGTATAGCCACTTTGGATTTGGATTCATGCCCCTCCTGACAGCTAGAGGTCGCTCAGGAGATGATACGCAGGTGGATCTAGTGATGGTTAATGCAGCCTTAGTGAGAGGATGTTACAGCACCATTTAAAGAGCCGCTGGAGTAACCTCTTCTTAAGAAGTCATCACTGGACCCTACCATTTTTCATTTTTGTTCAGTTTCCCATCTTCCCCTCTTAAGGAAGGTGGTTGAGAAGGCAGTCTTTCTGCAGCTCCAGAGGATCCTGGATAAGACAGATTATCTGGACCCCTTCCAGTCAGGTTTCAGTCCGAGATATGAGATGGAAACAGCATTGGTCATGTTTTTGGATGATCTCTGACAGGAGCAGTATAGGAGTAGTGCATCCATCTTAGCTCCTCTTGATCACTTGGTGACTTTTGATATCACCAAACATATCATTCTGGGTAGGCTTCAGCGTTGGGAATGGGAGCACAGTTTTGTGCTGGTTTACCTCCTTCTTTTGAGACAGTCCCAGTTGGTGTTGTCAGAGAGCAAGAGGTCCAATTCTGTTTTGTGTGATGCTGCAGGGATCAGTGCTTAATATCTTCATGAAGCCATCAGATAAGATCATACATTGCCACAAAATGAAGCATGATCAATATACTGATTAAACAAAGATATATATCTTCATCCTGGCTGAAGTAAGTGATGCTATGGATGCCCTTTTGCAGTACCTGGAGGCTGTGAGGGTCTACATTGGAGAAAAATAGGCCTAAACTAAACCCTGGTAAGATGGACTGGCTGTGAGAGAAGGCTCTTTTATAAACTCGAGGTTTATGATCTTTGGTTCTAAATGGGGTTACACAGCCTCAGATGGATCTGATGTGTAATCTGTGGGTCTTCTTAAACTCACAACTCCTGCTCAAGGAGCAAATGGCAATCGTGGCTAGGAAGGCCTTTGATCAACTTCATCTTGTGCACCAGTTATGCCATTCCCTGATTTGAGAAAATCTTTTAGTTACTGATATCCTGGTCATCTCCTGAATGGAATATTGCAATGTGTTCTATATGGGACTGCTCTTGAAGACTATCCAGAAGTTGCAATTGGTGCAGAATATAGCAGTGTGAGCAATCTTGGGAATTCCTAGGATTGCGCAAATAACATCTCTGCTATGCAAGTTCCATTGAGTGCCAATTTGCTTCCGGATCTAATTCAAGGTAACGGTTATCACCTTTAAAGTCCTTCGTAGCATGGGGCTAAGTTACCTGATCCCAGTTACATTGTCCTATCCCACCTAGTCAAGCAGAGAGGATATGTTGCGGATCCCATTGGTTAATAATTTCAGTTGGTGGAATTCAAGAAGAGAATTTTCTCTGCTGTTGCCCTTCGGAACACCTTACCTACAAAACTGAGGTGAACCCCCTTCTCTTCTGGTCTTCAGAAAGAGTACTAAGACTTGGCTTTGCCAATTGCATGGGAGTTAAAGAGTGTATACCATCTTGGAAATGGTGTCATGAGAATGTTCTCTCCATCTTTGAGCTCTTTAACTTTTAATATATTAACCCTAACCCTTTTATTCTGTTTTTAAGTCTGTTCTTATTTATACTTTGATATGATATCTTTTTAATTATAACCTGCCCTGAGTCATTTAGTTGAGATGGGTGGTGTAGAAATATGAAGGAATGAACAAATAACCATTTAATATTTGTTTGTTTAACAACAGTGGGATTATAGTTCAGTTTTGCCATAGAATATAGCAAATTGTTTATTGAAATATGGTTGCATAAATGTTTTGAATTGGTTTTTAGACTGTTTTTAGGTTGTTATTCAGTTTGATTCTGTCACCTTTAAAATATTGAAATATTGAAAGTTTTAAAAAAAGTTTAGATATTCACCAAAGGAATAAAACTGCAGTCTTACAAATAGGACTTGATGTGATCACTATTGCAAAAAATAATATCTTTTCTTATCAGTAGAAAAATCTAATACATGAAATACTTTTAAAAATCTGGACTGAAATACATGGTGATCTCATTATCTAGTTCTTTCTTTTTATTATATAAAGTGTAAGCTTTATGTCCCTGATTAACATATCCAATCCCTTCTTTCTTAATAATGGTCTCAGTTCATGTAGAACATTCAACCTCAGTAACTTTAATATGTATGGACTTCAACTTCCAAAATTCCCCAGCCAGGCACACTAGGGAATTTTGGAAGTTGAAATCCACACGTTACCAAGGTTGAGAAACTGTGCGTGTACTGTAGAATAGTACAGACTTGCAGATTGTATGTAGTATAAAATAGCATAACTATTACCTGTTTTAGTCTCTCGCTAATTCCCCAATGATTAGTTTTCCTACTCATCTTCTAAACCAGCTTTCTCCAACTTCAAGCCTTCTTCAACCTTTTAGATTTATTGGGGTCTCAGCAAGGATAGTGAAATGTATTATCAGGCCACCATTGCAAATCTTGTCTTGTTCTTTCCTAACATATTTGGAGAACAGGAAATTCAGAAACACTGTTGTTGAAGGTCCCATTCTAATCACCATTCTATAGCCAACAGCAAACCATATAATAGCTTTACCATTGCACTGTCAAGTGTGGTTTTTGTGTATGTCAGTGGTTCTCAACCTTTTTAATGCCGTGACCCCCAACCGGTCATAAGTCGAGGACTACTCAACTGGTGCAGCACCGTTTGCAGAATGGGACTTTTGGCGGGCTCAGCAGGGCAGAGACAGCCTGGACAATTCCTATTGGCTTTTGAAAGCCAATAGAATTAGACTCTATTCAAGAGAGTCTATTCTGTTGGCTTTCAAAAGCCAATAGAAAAGAGAGTAGCACAGCTAAGGAAAAGGGGGGGGGAAATGGCGGACTGCCATTTTTGGCGTTGTTTGGCGACTGCGTTGTTTGGCGACCCCCGTGAAATGGTCGTTCGACCCCAGATGGGGTCCCGACCCACAGGTTGAGAACCACTGGTATATGTATATATGTATTACACGTATATGTAAATACACACACAAAACATGGTATCAAGATGCAAAAAAATTCATCCCAGTTTCAGAAAAATATCCATATCTGTACCTAATAAAACCCTGTATCTTTTAATCTTCAAATGACCTAACCAAATAGAAATCTAATCTTTCTACTGTATATAGAAGGATGTTTGCAGTCCCAGTAGGCCAATTTATAGGCATACTGATTGAAAAATGAATTAGGTGGGAAAGGTAAAACAGTAGCCTTCCATATGGAATGTATTTCCCCTTCTTTCTCTTGCTGCTTTCCTGAAAAATGTTTGTCAATTGACCTCCTGAGCAGTCAGGAATAATTGTTCTTCACAATGATGGGAAAAGATCGTCTGATAACATAAAATTACAGAGATTCTGCCCTTCCCTGTCTGACTTTATTCAGCCTCAGGAAATAAAGGGATTCAAGGATGGGCAGAGTATTTTTCGTTGGTTTTATTCATTGGTTTATAAAAATAATAATAATAAGGAACGGGCTTTTTTTAAAATTGTTTCTAGCATAAGACACTATCATTGCATAGTTATTATCATTATTAGGTGTTTCATGTTCCTTTCTGTGCTTCCATATTTTTTTTCTGTAAATGTTTAAGGATTGCCCGATAAAAAATTATCCCGGTAGAAAAACCTGGCCCAAACTGTTGCTTTCTAAATGAGAAGCATCTGCACTTCCTAAATTTCCTTTTATTGACTTTGTTGACCAAGAATTCTGTGGATTACTAGTTCCAATACGTATGAATAGTCCTGGATTAGACTCTTCCCTTAGCAATACCTTAATCTAGCTTCAGATATATTGAAGGAAGGATAGGGAGCCTTATTTATGGAGGAAAGTATGTACAAGTATGTACAAATATTTCATTTGTAAATTTTATTAACTTGTTTCTGTTATCACAAATATGATGGGTTCTGTTGATTCTGTAGCATTCTATGTGGTACTCTGAGAAAAAAATATTTCACCATCCCTAAGAGGGAAATGTGAAAGTCCCTGCAACATGATTATTCTTAAGTTTATATTTCTGCTTCTGTTTTTTTCTTTATAAGGTTGAAGTGTGAGTGTGAAAAGAAAGGAGCAGAAATAATCTTGTATGGATTTGGTTTTAATATTCTGGAAAGAATATTAATGCAGAGACAACAAAACAAACAGTTATTTATGTAGAAGTAAACAAGGAAAATTCTGAAGTTGGGACTTGTACCTACTTTCACACTTTCCTCTATGGTTAATGAAAT